TTGCTCCAGGCACTGTCGCTTCCTTGCGCGGAGGCTGTCGGCGTAGGTGGCGCGTTTGGTTGATCCTGATTGCTCCTGTTGTGGCTGATGCACAACGAAGCGCTTTGCCAGCGCTCGTTCTTCAAGCGTCAGACTGTCTTTCTTGCCGTCCAAAATCTTCACGACTGCTGACTCAAAGAGAGGCGAATGGGCGATATTAGCATCGGCTGCGAGGTAGTCTTTCAGTTCGGGGTAGTCTTCAGTCATCTCCTGAAAAAGCCCTGCACGTCACCAATGTGCTGCCCCCGCTTTTGAAGGTCCGTCATCACGCTTCGAAAGTTCGCAAGTGACGGCATGATACTACGAATTCGCTCTGTGTCTGTACGTCGGAGGCTGTTGACGTCATCCAGCTGCTTGGCTTCCTTTTCGATTTTGAGGAACCGCTTCAGCATTTTGTGAGTTGATGACCACCGCGTCACGTTCCGTTTGATCGGGTGGAGAGGAGTAAGTTCACGAAGCGCTCCAGCTGCCTTCAGATTTCGGAGCTCAGACACGATCCTGTCAGCCTTCGATATAGTGGCTTGAACGCCAGGGCGTCGCTCAAGAAATGATTTCACGGCGAGGTTGAGTTTGTGGCAGCCACATCCAATTAGAGGAACCCCCACCAAGTCAGCTAGTGCCTTGTTCGCTGGACAATTATCCCCTGTCAAAACCGACGGTGACGAAATCGACTTTCCGTAGAGTGATAGCACGTACTCCAGAAGAGCGTAGTGCTCAGCGGCCGTGTAGTGCTTTTCGTTGAGAGGCGGGGAGCAGCCCAGAAGAACTTCTTGGTACGAGCCGTTGTTCATGAAAGTGGCAATGATGCCGATGTAGTGAGTCGATCCGTCTGACCACCCGTCAAACATGATGCCGTAGTGCTCAGGGAGTTTTATACGAATGCTTTCTTCAACTAGAGCAACCAGTCGAGTGATGTAGAGCATGGTGTAGTAGAACACACAAATATCGTCAGATGTGGATTCCTTACACAAACCACAACGAATCGCCGAGTTAGGTCGGCGGTTTGTATGGCCTGCGCAGAGGGTGGTCCCCTCGCGGTCCGGCCCTTCCGGGACAGACGAGTGGCTCGCTTCCACCCGGTTCCGACTAACCAAGTCAGATCACTTCCGAGGCTCCGCCGAGTTGGGTTCGGCTGAGCTCGTTCACAACCCTGTGCCCTCCACCAAAGGATGGACGACGGCGCGCGAGCGCTTTTACAGGTCACCGAGCGCAGAGGCAGCTCAGCTAGAAGTGTTACGGCACCCGGGCTATCCGACGTACCAGCCCGCTGAGTATGCGGGACTTTCTTTCGCGCGTAGCGAAACTTTGTCCTACCCGGACCGACCTAATCTCTTGGCGCTACCAGTCAATACCCTACAAGCTATGCCTCTCGAGTATTGACGGCAGGCATAATCCAGCCCTATGCAGGGACTTACCGGAAAAGTGTACACGTGTCTTGGACTAGGAAAATTCTGCTCTGTTATCTTCTGGGAGCCCTTTCGGCTCCCCCTATTTAATCCTATGCTTCTCATACAAATATCTAATGAAATATAGTCGTTTCGGATCTCTACCGACCTTTCAGCTGAGTTCCGGCGACCGTTGAGCTCAGCGGCTGTCCGGATAGCATATCCGGACAGATCGCCGAGTACTTACCGTGATCCTTGGCTCCTAAGCTCTGGGTTATCAGACCAAGCCGATTCTTGACCTAAAGTAGGTCGGCGTATGGTCGAATCTGGAAATCCCTACACCACAACTGCCCCGGTTATGATACGAGCCGAGCTGGTGAGTGTCTTAATCCTTCATTTTGTTCTGCCACCGTTGGTCCGTACTCGGCTGATGACGTCTTGCGGCTCCCCACCACCTTCTTTGGTACGCTCGTTGCTTCCGCTGTCACTCACTTGGCAGCTCCTTACTCTTCGCATGTTGTTCCAGCACAACCCGTGGCACCATCCTTCTTCTCCAACTCCTCGTCGAGGTGAAGGCGTGCCAGCTGAGTCGATTCCTCGACCCGTCGGTACTCGTGGGGTCAGCGACCGGCATGAAGCTGGGCTGGTTGACCTGACAGCTTCCCATGAGTCTGACGCGGAGTCGGCAGAGTCTTCTCGCGTGCGCCTTCCTGGTCCACCGAGCTTGCCGGGCGACACCACTTCGGGCGCCACCAATCAGCCAAGTTCGGCTGCTCCAGTGAGTCTTGACTCCCTCATGGCCAGAATTAACGAGCAAGGGCATGATCGCCGAGAAGAATTGACCTTCTTGGCGAGGCTCATGGCTTACGGACTTACTCGTTCCGTGGAGCCCTCCGATCCCGTGCAGCGGCGAGCGATTTTGCATGCTGCTTCCGCGGGGGAACTCTTGGATATCTTGAAAGGCAACTACGCCGCTCTTGATTATCCAAAGATCATCGGCGATCTCCAAGCTGACAATCAAGCTGTTCAGGAGGAGAACCGCGCACTGCCTCGGCGACTGGACTCGCTTGCTCTCAGCAATGTCGACTTGTCAACTCAGCTCTCGTCGGCTCAACAGCAAGTGTCTCGATTGGAGGCTGCTGCCACGCAATCGGCTAATCTCCTCGCGTCGCTGCGAAAGGCTGTAGCTTTTCGCTCCGCGCGGTATGGATCCTCAGGTTGTTGACGACGCGATTGAAGAAGATTTCGATCTTGCTGAACAAGCGCCTCCTGCCTATGCCCTGGGTGCTCCAACTCGGCTGAATCGTCAAGGCATCCATATCTTCACTGGGTCTTCGATCGGTGAGCTCGGCTCAGATGGCGAGAGTGCGTCTGATGACGACTCGGCGGACGATGGGTTGGGTTCTCCCAATCTCCGAGGCGCGTCTCCGAGTATGTCTCCGTTCGGCACCCCACTCCCCAGTGGAACGGATCCTCAGCCCACTTCCGCCGCGTCGGGTCCTGAGGCACCTGGTTCGGCGTCAGCTTCGTTGGCTAGCTCGGCGATGATACTTCTTGCCACGGCTGCGAATGCTGCATCTCCTTCCGCAAGTTCCCAAGGGATGACGTCTGCTACGACGCCACGCCCCCAATCGTCGAGTCCGCTGAGCTCTTCCCAGTTGTCTCCGTCGGGTTCAACTCACTTGGAATCCGGATCGCCGACTTTTTAGTTTTCTTCCTTTGACTGGGCGTCCCGTAGGTATCGTTCAGGACTTCATTTCGTAATTATTCAGTATATGTAGTTTCGACACAGTAACATTCCGTCTCAACTCGGCCTGTGTCGTCCGCTGAGTTGGTGTAACTTTTGGTGCAATAGCTGTTAATCCTCATCTGCAACTTGCACCATTTGCAGACGGTTTTCGCGTTTCTTCTGTCGTAGATAGTCAAACAGGAGACCCCACATGACAAATTCGACAGTGGTTCCCAAGTAGGCTCATCGTAGCCGACCCACTTAACTTTAAACTTCCGTTGTGATCGTGACGTACTTGTGGATAATGGTAGCTCATCGTCGAGAATTGCTTCGACTTCATACTGGTTTGTACTTGTGTCTGGTTCCCAGCTGTCTTCGGGCAGTAGTTCTTCATCAAAGTCAAATCGCTGAGTCTCTTCGAGGTCGGCGATTAGCCTCGTCTTTGGTCTTCCGCCGAGTTCGGTGACTGCCTTCAGACGTGATACATGGACCACTGGGTAGAACCTATATCCACTCTTGTCGGGTAACTCCAATTCATAGGCGAATTCTTCCACCTTCTTCTTCACCCTGAATGGTCCATGCCATCGGTGGGCTAACTTCTTGGTCAGGCCCGACTTGACTCGCTCCATAAACCACCAGACTTGATCTCCTTCTTTGGACAAGGATTTGGTGGATT